GTAGACCCTTTCTTTTTGTTGGAAATCTGAACATTTATTATTTCCATATAAAATTTTGATTACGTTTTTAGATCAAATTTTATAAAAATTAAACTGTGCCATTATTACTTGTTCAGTAGGGTTTTGTCCCAATGACCGCATTGCTATACCTAATTCTTTGGTAGATATGGTACCATTACCATCTTTGTCGAACATTGTAAATGCTTCACGGAATTCATCAATTTCTTCAGGTGTTAACTAAAAATTTTGATATCAATCACAAGATATTGCTTTTATAAAAACAAACTTATTTCTAAGCTTTGCTATTCAATTATTTTGATTTCTAAAAAAACAGCAAATTATTTAACGCAAAAAATAAATGCATTTTTTTAATACATTAATATGTACGAAAATTTAAATATAGCAAAATATTAAAAAGCAATCAAAAATAATTTTTCTGCGCAAAAATTTTTAAGCGCATTTTTAAATATTCAAATATCTTAAAAATAATTCAAAAATTAGTACACATATAAAATTAAATCTTTGACCTAAAATATTTGTCACTAATCACTAAGTTTGATTACTTTGAATAAATTTTGATAGTTCATTTGTTAATGCCAAATGTTATCTAGTAGTTAAGTTTTTCAAAAAAAATTGATAAGCCAATTTTTTGAATATTTGTTGATAATTATCTTGCAATTATCAAGTAGTTATCGATAGCTTATATTTCTTCTTTGCTGTATACATCATAATTTATAGCTTTTTGTACTGTAATTATTTTATTTCAATCCTAAGAAACTTAAATAATAATTTCTGCAATATGGCATTAGTAATAATTTTTTGTGTAAAAATTTGTTGGCATTTTAATTTTAGATTTAATAAATGAATTACTGAATAATATTATTATGCCACTAAATATGAACAAAAAGCAGTTCAGATTTTGATTGTAGTTGTTTTTGAACACAAAAATTAATATATTTTGAGAAAATTGAAATACTTTTAACCTGTTTTAAGACATCTTCACTAAATTGCATTAAACTGCTCGAAGATTGACGAGCTGTGCTTAGTGCCATCCTAAAAAAAAGCTTAATCAAGAGAATTATGCAAGACTAAGTCATTTTTTATGTCAGTTTAACGAAAACGTTCACGTATTATATCGTAAAAACTTATTTTATCGACTATAGATTTAGCTTGATACTATATATATTGCTAATTTTTGCTTCAATGTATAATTCGTTTATTTAGTGAAGAAGAAATAAATTTTTATCAAAATTTTGTTCTAGAATAATTTGTGTAATTGATTAATTAATTAATTATTGAGGTTAAAAAATATACTTTAATTTACATGAATAAATTTTTTTAAGCAAACTACTATCAATAAAAGTAAAATAAATTATTTTCAATTTAAAAAACTATTTTTGTTTTTAGTTTTCAAGCAAAAAATTGTAATTCTTTCTAAAAACTTGAATTTTGCTTCATAATTACAAAGTCTTATTGTTTATTGATGAAAATAACAAAGTAAAAATCTAAATTTAATTCTTTACAATTAATGTTAAATTTTCAAATTTGTCTGCCGTCAATTCATGCAAATGCATGTTAAGCAACTTTAAGCATTAATTAATAAATAAGTAAGTCAATAATTAAATTAATAAATAAGTAAATAAATAAATAGGCAGACAGATAAATTAATAACATACATAACAAGTAATACAAAGCTAAGCTAAGTTAATCCAAATTTTGATTTAAACTGAAAGTTGAAGTAAAAGTTAGAAAATAATTTTAAGTCTAAGCTTACGCTATTAACTTCTGACATTTTGAAAATGCACTGCAAGGAAGCATAGAGTACACGCAAAAATAAAATAAAGTAGAATAGTGGAGGAAAGAATTCTAACACATTCCTTCTATGGTTATTTGTTTTAGTGAAAATGCAATTTCAACTTAAAAACATCGTATGTATTTATTTGTAAATATTTTTACCAGTCAATCGATTTAACAATATTTAAGTATTCTATATCTATATTTATATATAGATATATAGTGATGCAAGTTAATACAAGCATCTGATAGCATAAATTAATACAAGTACTGCAAATATCCATGAAATAAAGAAGTAAGGATTAGTATGCTATTGATTTAACTGGAACAAATTTTAAACGAAAATTAAATATTGTCTTGTTTTATACTCTTTGACTTGCATGCATTCAAACTGAACTGAGAATTGAATTTGCTTGACAGAAGTGAAAAACATTGAAAAGTTATAATTCAAGTCTTTTAATAATTATTATATTGAAAATTAAGATGTAGTGATATAAAATTTTCAGGATTAATCTTTCAATCAATAACCTAATATTTAATAATAGAAAAAA